TCTACATTGTTACTGCTAGATCAACGTAGATCAACTTTTTATTTTTTTCCTGCCTCCAAATTTGGCACCATTGGCCTGAGATGTCTGGCCAGTATTGTGCCTTTTTGTTATTTATTTATTTGTGTAATACATGTTTGGCAGGCTGGCTGGCTAGGTGGCTGATTGACTTTGGCTGTCTCTATTTCCGTCTGTCTGTCTGTATATATCTCTATCTCTGTCCATCTCTGTCTATCTCAGTTTCTGTCTATCTCTGTCTATCTCTATCTCACAGGTACACAAATATTTTTATTTATTATTATCACACTGGCCGATTCCCACCAAGGCAGGGTGGCCCGAAAAAGAAAAACTTTCACCATCATTCACTCCATCACTGTCTTGCCAGAAGGGTGCTTTACACTACAGTTTTTAAACTGCAACATTAACACCCCTCCTTCAGAGTGCAGGCACTGTACTTCCCGTCTCCAGGACTCAAGTCCGGCCTGCCGGTTTCCCTGAATCCCTTCATAAATGTTACTTTGCTCACACTCCAACAGCACATCAAGTATTAAAAACCATTTGTCTCCATTCACTCCTATCAAACACGCTCACGCATGCCTGCTGGAAGTCCAAGCCCCTCGCACACAAAACCTCCTTTACCCCCTCCCTCCAATCTTTCCTAGGCCGACCCCTACCCCGCCTTCCTTCCACTACAGACTGATACACTCTTGAAGTCATTCTGTTTCGCTCCATTCTCTCTACATGTCCGAACCACCTCAACAACCCTTCCTCAGCCCTCTGGACAACAGTTTTGGTAATCCCGCACCTCCTCCTAACTTCCAAACTACGAATTCTCTGCATTATATTCACACCACACATTGCCCTCAGACATGACATCTCCACTGCCTCCAGCCTTCTCCTCGCTGCAACATTCATCACCCACGCTTCACACCCATATAAGAGCGTTGGTAAAACTATACTCTCATACATTCCCCTCTTTGCCTCCAAGGACAAAGTTCTTTGTCTCCACAGACTCCTAAGTGCACCACTCACTCTTTTTCCCTCATCAATTCTATGATTCACCTCATCTTTCATAGACCCATCCGCTGACATGTCCACTCCCAAATATCTGAATACGTTCACCTCCTCCATACTCTCTCCCTCCAATCTGATATCCAATTTTTCATCACCTAATCCTTTTGTTATCCTCATAACCTTACTCTTTCCTGTATTCACCTTTAATTTTCTTCTTTTGCACACCCTACCAAATTCATCCACCAATCTCTGCAACTTCTCTTCAGAATCTCCCAAGAGCACAGTGTCATCAGCAAAGAGCAGCTGTGACAACTCACACTTTGTGTGTGATTCTTTATCTTTTAACTCCACGCCTCTTGCCAAGACCCTCGCATTTACTTCTCTTACAACCCCATCTATAAATATATTAAACAACCACGGTGACATCACACATCCTTGTCTAAGGCCTACTTTTACTGGGAAAAAATTTCCCTCTTTCCTACATACTCTAACTTGAGCCTCACTATCCTCGTAAAAACTCTTCACTGCTTTCAGTAACCTACCTCCTACACCATACACTTGCAACATCTGCCACATTGCCCCCCTATCCACCCTGTCATACGCCTTTTCCAAATCCATAAATGCCACAAAGACCTCTTTAGCCTTATCTAAATACTGTTCACTTATATGTTTCACTGTAAACACCTGGTCCACACACCCCCTACCTTTCCTAAAGCCTCCTTCTTCATCTGCTATCCTATTCTCCGTCTTACTCTTAATTCTTTCAATTATAACTCTACCATACACTTTACCAGGTATACTCAACAGACTTATCCCCCTATAATTTTTGCACTCTCTTTTATCCCCTTTGCCTTTATACAAAGGAACTATGCATGCTCTCTGCCAATCCCTAGGTACCTTACCCTCTTCCATACATTTATTAAATAATTGCACCAACCACTCCAAAACTATATCCCCACCTGCTTTTAACATTTCTATCTTTATCCCATCAATCCCGGCTGCCTTACCCCCTTTCATTTTACCTACTGCCTCACGAACTTCCCCCACACTCACAACTGGCTCTTTCTCACTCCTACAAGATGTTATTCCTCCTTGCCCTATACACGAAATCACAGCTTCCCTATCTTCATCAACATTTAACAATTCCTCAAAATATTCCCTCCATCTTCCCAATACCTCTAACTCTCCATTTAATAACTCTCCTCTCCTATTTTTAACTGACAAATCCATTTGTTCTCTAGGCTTTCTTAACTTGTTAATCTCACTCCAAAACTTTTTCTTATTTTCAACAAAATTTGTTGATAACATCTCACCCACTCTCTCATTTGCTCTCTTTTTACATTGCTTCACCACTCTCTTAACCTCTCTCTTTTTCTCCATATACTCTTCCCTCCTTGCATCACTTCTACTTTGTAAAAACTTCTCATATGCTAACTTTTTCTCCCTTACTACTCTCTTTACATCATCATCCCACCAATCGCTCCTCTTCCCTCCTGCACCCACTTTCCTGTAACCACAAACTTCTGCTGAACACTCTAACACTACATTTTTAAACCTACCCCATACCTCTTCGACCCCATTGCCTATGCTCTCATTAGCCCATCTATCCTCCAATAGCTGTTTATATCTTACCCTAACTGCCTCCTCTTTTAGTTTATAAACCTTCACCTCTCTCTTCCCTGATGCTTCTATTCTCCTTGTATCCCATCTACCTTTTACTCTCAGTGTAGCTACAACTGTGTAAATTACCCAGGATAATGCAAAAAAATCCAGACAAAGTGCTGTACTGCACTGTGCTTGTAGATGTAAGGCATAAGCATGACTGGCAAGTAATATGCATTTTCACTTGTTCAGGAATCAGACGTGACAACTCAACATCGTGTGCAATACCTGTTAGTTCATGAGCAGCTCTCTCTCTGAGATAGAGAGACAAGCAAACAGGAAGACAGACAGAGATAAGCAGAAAGAGAGATGAAACAGAGACAGAGCTAGACAGACAGGCAGATAGACATACAGGCAGATAGACTATTACACACAGAAAATTGCCCTCTTTAATTAAAATTTTTTTTTTTTTTTTTTTTTTCAAAATATTCGGAGTGCTAGGCAAGAGAACGTAGATCCATGTTTTGACATTTAAGGGGTTAAACTGTACTTCCCATTTCCAGGACTTGAGTCTGGCTAACCAGTTTCCCTGAATCCCTTCACAAAATATTACGCTGATCACACTCCAACAGCTCGTCAGGTCCCAAAAACCATTCATCTCCATTCACTCCTATCTAACACACTCATGCATGCTTGCTGGAAGTCTAAGCCCCTCGCCCACAAAACCTCCTTTACTCCCTCCCTCCAACCTTTTTAGGGACGACCCCCTACCCCGCCTTCCTCCCCATACAGTTTATAAGCTCTCCTAGTCATTCTTTGTTCCATTCTCTCTAAATGACGAAACCACCTCAACAGCCCCTCTTCAGCCCTCTGACTAATACTTTTAGTAACTCCACACCTCCTAATTTCCACACTATGAATTCTCTGCATAATATTTACACCACACATTGGCCTTAGACAGGACATCTCCACTGCCTCCATCTGCCTCCTCACTGCAGCATTTACAACTCATGCTTCACACCCATATAAGAGTGTTGGTACCACTATACTCTCGCACATTCAAAAATTGTAATGTTTAAAACAAAGGTTCAGATCTAGTAATGGAGAAGTTTTAAAATTCTAGGTATTAATAAAGCATGCCAGAGATAAAAGATAAGGGACTGGGCTTATTAATCCTTATTTAACCAAAGACATCCCAACAAAGCAAACTGTTGTACTATAGTACTGTTATAAAAGGGAATACTTGTATTTTCCCTTTAAAAAGTGTCCTCATGCCACAACTGCCAGATTGTTGATGAATATTCTCTCTTATGTGGTGTCAAGGACAAGTAGATTTTTTCCTGGAGATAAATTTGTCACATAAGAGCAAGAGTTATTCATAAGAATTTCCTTAACAGAATGTCATACATATATCTGCATACAAACATGACTCACAAATTCGTAATGACACGATTGCAAACAAACTATACCAAAATCGTAATGACACGATTGCAAACAAACCATACCACAGGTGGGATTAGAACCTGCGTTAGCCACTGGGCCAGCTAGCTTCAATAAGATTCATCCAGCTAGGTATATTTCTACACCATAGGAAAGTTAGCATAGGCACCAGTGTGACCACAAATGCAAGTTTTTACAGATGAATCTCCCACTAGCATGGCTGTGACGAACTCTGGCTCAAGTCCCCTCAAAGCTGTCAACATGACTCAGGAAATCGTAATGACATGATTGCAAACAAAGCATACCACGGGTGGGATTAGACCAGCGATTAGAGAGTCTCAAAACTCCAGACCGTCGCATTAGCCACTGGGCCAGCTAGCTTCAATAAGATTCATCCAACTAGGTATATTTCTACACCACAGGAAAGTAAGCATAGGCACCACTGTGACCACAAATGCAAGTTTTTACAGACGAATCTCCTGCTAGCATAGCCATGACGAACTCTGGCTCAAGTGCCCTCAAAGCTGTCAACATGACTCACGAAATCGTAATGACATGATTGCAAACAAACCATACCACGGGTGGGTCAAAACTCCAGAGTCTCAAAACTCCAGACTGTCGCATTAGCTAATTTTCCTTTGGTGTAGAAATATACCTAGTTGGATGAATCTTTTTGAAGCTAGCTGGCCCGGTGGCTAACGCGACGGTCTGGAGTTTTGAGACTCTGATCGCGGGTTCTAATATCACCTGTGGTATGGTTTATCTGCATACATTTGTCAAAATATATAAATATGGCAAATAAAATAATCATCTTTTTTTTTTCTTAGAAATTCATGGAAACTTTAAAGACTAGATTGCACACAGTAATTAACAAAACTAAATTGAAAGTTTTTTCATGATATGACAGTCTGGATATTAAGAGGAAATTTATTTTTTATATTTTTTAGACTGGTGCAGCTTTTCTTCTTGATGAGGTTCAGACTGGTTGTGGTCCAACAGGCAAGTTCTGGTGCCATGAACATTTTAACTTGCCAGAAGCTCCAGATATTGTTACATTTAGCAAGAAGATGTTGACAGGTGGCTTTTTCTGCAAAAAGGAATTCAGGTAAAGAGCACTGGACTAGATTTTACTGATGCAGTTTTTTAAGTTGTCATAAATATGATTGTTGTAATAAAGAAAAGCAGCAGAGTGAGTAAACAGATTGAAGAGTTAACAACTAACTTGTCAGAAAAATATGGTATTGCCTGACTCACTTGTAAATTTAAAAAATGTATTGTGTTTTCCCACTCCAGTTTTTAAAATAGAATAAGAATTACAAGACACAGACAGATAAGTTCATTAACAGGACATAACATCTGATTGGTGTTTTACTGGTATGTGGAGTATTGTAATAACTAATGGAAAAGCACTTAGATTAGTCATAAGATGGTGGAAGAACATTAAAGTTGAGGTTTTATGGCACAGACAAACTCTCATATTAAAGCAGTAGTGATGGACACTCAGCAAATGTGGTGCTGGCATTGCTACACTAATGGGTGATAATTTTATGGAAAGATGTACATATAATGTAAATGTCAGTGACTCATGATTGAGATCATGCTAAGATGGTATGGACACATTGAGCTATTGGATACAAAAATGTTGTTAAGGAAATGTAATTGAAGGAATTTGAATGTGGGTGAGGAAAAAGGCTAAGAAGATAGGCAGCTTTGGTGAGTGAATGTATGAAATGTGTCAATGTAAATACGTATAAGAGGTAGAGGAAAAAGATGTAAATTTGATTGACAGTCTGTTAGAAATACTTTTAACCTTTTTTTTCTATATCTATTTTCTCCAGGCAAATGTCTTCCATCTTTAAGAAAGTGAGAAATAGTGAAATAATAAAGATCCTAAACTGATGTACCCATTGACTCCTTAGTTCCCCCTCCTGAGAGAGGTTATTTTGAGGAAATGGAGTAACTATATGGAATGTAAATTTATTCATATCTATTTTTTTTCTTACCAGGCCACTCCAGGGATATCGAATCTACAATACTTGGATGGGCGATTCCTCCAAGATTATCACATTAGAGGAAGTTATCCGAGTTATCAACCGTGACAAACTTTTGGAAAATGTTAGAGAAACAGGAGAAATTCTCTTTAAGGTTAGTTTTTGAGTTATGTGCATGACATCACGTAATAAACTACCTGGCTGAATGCCTAAAAATCTGAAACTCGCTACCAGAAGTTTTTTATCTGCCAGATGCTTTAAAAATAGTCAGTAAACACCTGAATTTTAATAATCTGACTATCCTGATTCCAAATAAACACTCTTCATATTCATGCACTTTTTCTCTCAGCTATTTTCTTATTCATCTGCTTCAACAGCTATTTTCACTAAGCTCGATTCTATCCACCTAGAACCACATCCGTGTCATGGTACCTTTCATTCATCATTAGTTGAAAGCCTGCATGTAGAGTCTTAATGTTACTTCTGTGACCTACAGAATAATTATAGGTGTAGTGAAGTTGATACTTTTAGCTGTCATATTTCTTTATCATGCCCTTTTCATCTTTGCCTTCAGACTTCTTTTCTGTTAACCCTGTTCATTTCTTTTTTAGGAAGGTACAAACGATACAAGAATATTCCTCCTTTCCCTTTACAGGAAATGAGGAATATTTTTGCTATGGACATCCTATGCTGTGGATATCCATATGCTGTGGATATCCATATGCTGTGGATATCCATATGCTGTGGACATCCATATGCTGTGGACATCCTATGCTGTGGACATCCTATGCTGTGGACATTCATATGCTGTGGACATCCATATGCTGTGGACATCATATGCTGTGGATAACCATATGCTGTGGACATCCATATGCTGTGGATATCCATATGCTGTGGATATCCATATGCTGTGGATATCCATATGCTGTGGATATCCATATGCTGTGGACATCCATATGCTATGGATGTCCATATGCTGTGGATGTCCATATCCTGTGGACATCCACCCCTTCTTCCCTGGTTATTTTGAATTTCACTTATATGCTACTGTTTTAGTTATACTGATGGCTATAAATCCTCTGGTGGTGAAAGATATGTAGCAGTTTTTCCAGATAGTGTGATACTTGAGCACTTTCAGGAATTACCTAGTATTTTCACAGTGGTATATGCACTTGAAGCAGTCATCTACATGGCCTCTTTTCCTACTTCTATTTTATGTTGTAGTCCATGACTCAGTGTGCATGCTAGTTACTCACAGCTTTGACTCGCATCTCATTGTCCTTTGCCTCTTCAGCAAGCCTAAAGACATCATCATCTGCTGGGTCCCAGGTCATTGTGGTGTCCAGTGCAGTGAACTTGTAGATTCTTATGCACATTCTTTTGCCCATGACATGTCCAGGTTGGTAGACAGCAACCACCCAGGGAAGTACTACCGTCCTGCCAGATGACTGTGAAACAGAAACCTGTAACTGTTTTGCATGATGGTAGGATTGCTGGTGTCTTTTTCTGTCTCATAAACACGCTAGATAACAGGGATATCTTGCTACTCCAACTTACACTTTGGTCACACTTCACAGACATGCACATGCATATATATATACATACATCTAGGTTTTTCTCCTTTTTCTACATAGCTCTTGTTCTTCTTTATTTCTTCTATTGTCCATGGGGAAGTGGAAAAGAATCTTTCCTCCGTAAGCCATGCGTGTCGTATGAGGCGACTAAAATGCCGGGAGCAATGGGCTAGTAACCCCTTCTCCTGTAGACATTTACTAAACAAGAGAAGAAGAAAAACTTTATAAAACTGGGAAGCTTGAATGTGCGTGGATTTAGTGCAGATGACAAGAAACAGATGATTGCTGATGTTATGAATGAAAAGAAGTTGGATGTCCTGGCCCTAAGCGAAACAAAGCTGAAGGGGGTAGGGGAGTTTCAGTGGGGGGAAATAAATGGGATTAAATCTGGAGTATCTGAGAGAGTTAGAGCAAAGGAAGGGGTAGCAGTAATGTTAAATGATCAGTTATGGAAGGAGAAAAGAGAATATGAATGTGTAAATGCAAGAATTATGTGGATTAAAGTAAAGGTTGGATGTGAGAAGTGGGTCACAATAAGCGTGTATGCACCTGGAGAAGAGAGGAATGCAGAGGAGAGAGAGAGAGATTTTGGGAGATGTTAAGTGAATGTATAGGAGCCTTTGAACCAAGTGAGAGTGTCATTGTGGTAGGGGACCTGAATGCTAAAGTAGGAGAAACTTTTAGAGAGGGTGTGGTAGGTAAGTTTGGGGTGCCAGGTGTAAATGATAATGGGAGCCCTTTGATTGAACTTTGTATAGAAAGGGGTTTAGTTATAGGTAATACATATTTTAAGAAAAAGAGGATAAATAAGTATACAAGATATGATGTAGGGTAAAATGACAGTAGTTTGTTGGATTATAAGATAAGATAAGATTTCGTTCGGATTTTTAACCCCGGAGGGTTAGCCACCCAGGATAACCCAAGAAAGTCAGTGTGTCATCGAGGACTGTCTAACTTATTTCCATTGGGGTCCTTAATCTTGTCCCCCAGGATGCGACCCACACCAGTCGACTAACACCCGGGTACCTATTTGCTGCTAGGTGAACAGGACAATAGGTGTAAGGAAACGTGTCGGAATTTCCACCCGCCGGGAATCGAACCCGGGCCCTCCGTGTGTGAAGCGGGAGCTTTAGCCACCAGACCACCGGGCCAGGATGTACATGTTTATAGAGGGGCCACAGATATATCAGATCACTTTCTAGTTGTAGCTACACTGAGAGTAAAAGGTAGATGGGATACAAGGAGAATAGAAGCATCAGGGAAGAGAGAGGTGAAGGTTTATAAACTAAAAGAGGAGGCAGTTAGGGAAAGATATAAACAGCTATTGGAGGATAGATGGGCTAATGAGAGCATAGGCAATGGGGTTGAAGAGGTATGGGGTAGGTTTAAAAAAAGTTAGTGTTAGAGTGTTCAGCAGAAGTTTGTGGTTACAAAAAAAGTGGGTGCGGGAGGGAAGAGGAGCGATTGGGGAATGATGATGTAAAGAGAGTAGTAAGGGAGAAAAAGTTAGCATTTAGAAGTTTTTACAAAATAAAAGTGATGCAAGGAGGGAAGAGTATATGGAGAAAGAGAGAGAGGGTTAAGAGAGGGGTGTGAAGCAATGTAAAAAGAGAGCAAATGAGGAGTGGGTGAGATGTTATCAACAAATTTTGTTGAAAAAAGAAAAAAGTTTTGGAGTGATTTTAAACAAGTTAAGGAAGCCTAGAGAACAAATGGATTTGTCAGTTAAAAATAGGAGAGGAGATTTATTAAATGGAGAGTTAGAGGTATTGGGGAAAGATGGAGGGACATTTTGAGGAATTGTTAAATGTTGATGAAGATAGGGAAGCTGTGATTTCGTGTATAGGGCAAGGAGGAATAACATCTTGTAGGAGTGGGGAAGAGCCAGTTGTAGTGTGTGGAGGAGTTCGTGAGGCAGTAGGTAAAATGAAAGGGGTAAGGCAGCCGGGATTGATGGGATAAAGATAGAAATTTTTAAAGAGGTGGGGATATAGTTTTGGAGTGGTTGGTGCAATTATTTAATAAATGTATGGAAGAGGGTAAGGTACCTAGGGATTGGCAGAGAGCATGCATAGTTCCTTTGTATAAAGGCAAAGGGGACAAAAGAGAGTGCAAAAATTATAGGGGGATAAGTCTGTTGAGTATACCGGTAAAGTGTATGGTAGTTTTTATTATTGAAAAAATTTAAAAAAGTAAGAGGGGAGAATAGGATAGCAGATGAACAAGGAGGCTTTAGGAAAGGTAGGGGTGGGGTGGACCGGGTGTTTACAGTGAAACATATAAGTGAACAGTTTTTAGATAAGGCTAAAGAGGTCTTTGTGGCATTTATGGATTGGAAAAGGCGTTGACAGGGTGGATAGGGGGGCAATGTGGGGAGATGTTGCAGGTGTATGGTGTAGGAGGTAGGTTACTGAAAGCGTGAAGAGTTTTTACGAGGATAGTGAGGGGTTAAGTTAGAGTACATAGGAAGAGGGAAATTATTTCCCAGTAAAAGTAGGCCTTAGACAAGGTGTGTGATGTCACCGTGGTTGTTTAATATATTTATAGATGGGGTTGTAAGAAGTAAATGCGAGGGGTCTTGACAAGAGGCGTGGAGTTAAAAGATAAAAAAATCACACATAAAGTGGGAGTTGTCACAGTTACTCTTTTTGATGGGCACTGTGCTCTTGGGGGATTCTGAAGAGAAGTTGCAGAGATTGGTGGATGAATTTGGTGGGTGTGCAAAAGAAAAAAAATTAAAAGTGAATACAGGAAAGAGTAAGGTTATGAAGAAACAAAAAATATTAGTGATGAAAGATTGGATATCAGATTGGAGGGAGAGAGGTATGGAGGAGGTGAATGTATTCAGATATTTGGGAGTGGACGTGTCAGCGGATGGGTCTATGAAGGATAAGGTGAATCATAGAATTGATGAGGGGAAAAGGGTGAGTGGTGCACTTAGGAGTCTGTGGAGACAAAGAACTTTGTCCTTGGAGGCAAAGAGGGGAATGTATGAGAGTATAGTTTTACCAACACTCTTATATGGGTGTGAAGCATGGGTGATGAATGTTGCAGCGAGGAGAAGGCTGGAGGCAGTGGAGATGTCATGTCTGAGGGCAATGTGTGGTGTGAATATTATGCAGAGAATTCGTAGTTTGGAAGTTAGGAGGAGGTGCGGGATTACCAAAACTGTTGTCCAGAGGGCTGAGGAAGGGTTGTTGAGGTGGTTCGGGCATGTAGAGAGAATGGAGCGAAACAGAATGACTTCAAGAGTGTATCAGTCTGTAGTGGAAGGAAGAAGGGGTAGGGGTTGGCCTAGGAAAGGTTGGAGGGAGGGGGTAAAGGAGGTTTTGTGTGCGAGGGGCTTGGACTTCCAGCAGGCGTGCGTGAGCGTGTTTGATAGGAGTGAATGGAGACGAATGGTTTTTAATACTTGACGTGCTGTTGGAGTGTGAGCAAAGTAACATTTATGAAGGGGTTCAGGGAAACCGGCAGGCCGGACTTGAGTCCTGGAGATGGGAAGAACAGTGCCTGCACTCTGAAGGAGGGGTGTTAATGTTGCAGTTTAAAAACTGTAGTGTAAAACACCCTTCTGGCAAGACAGTGATGGAGTGAATGATGGTGAAAGTTTTTCTTTTTCGGGCCACCCTGCCTTGGTGGGAATCGGCCAGTGTGATGATAATAATAATAATGTCCAGTTTTGTTTAATAACATTTGAGGTCAATGGCAATATCATTGGTCTAGGTTAGAGGACAACCTCTTCTTGATGAAACCACAGTTGGGGTTTTGGTCAACTTCTTTTCATTGCTTTAGCATTTGGGAAAATGGTTTTAGCATGACTGCGAATTGACCCTACAAGACTCGCCCATAGCTTTCACATGGAGAAGCATCTGGCACCTCTCTATGCAACTTATTAGGTTCTGTTGATAGATACTTTTGATTAATTGTACCATTTATCAAAGAGCACATAGAAACCTGGGCACTTACTTTGCCTGCTGTCTTTTCAGAAAGCCCTACTTTCAGTGCAAGCATTCTCAATGATTTTTTTGATGGTAACTGACCTATTACACCAGCTTCAGCTTTTTATTTGAGTTTGTCACACTACTACCCTTTCCCAGTAGCTCCCCTCAGACTTGTTGCACTGTATGACCTCTATGGATTGGGCACAATTTGTGAATATCTTGATAATAATCAAGGTATATCAAGATTTTAATTTTTTTATTAGTTTTAAATGTTGCCCATTAACCCTTTCACTATCTTGACCATAGATCTACATTACTGACACCAGCATTGCTTATGTAGATCTGTGCCATCTTAGCATACCATTGTATACTATGGTACTATTCTCCAGTGACAGCCCCAACAACAAGGGTTATTCGAACATTTAGTGACTGAAAACGATGCTCAGGATGATGAAATAGCACTGAAAATCCCGGTGACCCACAGCTATCCGTGTTTGAGGTTGGGTCGTTTGGAACATGTCCACCAGTCCATAAGCGAAAGCTCATTCTCTTGTGACTTGGGCACAGACGTGAGCAGTAATAATGACAGTGATATAGACATTGATTTCCTATCAATTGATGACCAATACCGTAACGGTGATGAAAGTTACTCACCTGTAAAGTATCATGATATATAACCCCACATTCATTCTGGTAGTGTCCCCATTGCTATCCTGAGAGGAAATAATACATCATGGAACCCAACACCAGCAACAGATAGTGACATTGAGAATGATGGTGTATTGATTGGCATGGGTAATGGGCTGGTGATAGTGCCTGTGCTGCATACAGCACCAGCTGATGGGAGATGGGGGGGGGTTACTGTCAGGAAACCCAGCCATGTCCACCCCCACACAGCCACCACAGCCAGCCACAAATATCCAGCAGCCATTACCAGACCACATCTGGGATTGACAAGAGGCTGCACATTTTATGCCCACTCCCCATCAGTTTAATGATGCAGCAGAATCCAACCCAGTTGTACCCTTGGGAATGCTGCTGTTGAAATTGAATTCTTTGAGCTTTATTTCATGAACCCCTGATGCAGATGATAGGGAAACCACCAGTATACAATGGCAAACCCATTGTATTCACCACAGTCATTACTGCACAAGTGGAAGGATATGATCATGGCTGAGATGTATCTTGTCTTTGTCACAATAATGCTTAAGCTGTATGTATATAATCACAATACTGCAGCACACTGGTCGACAGACTTCCTTGTATGTACCCCAGTGTTCAGTGATCTCATCCCCAACAACTTGTACCAGATCAAGACCACCATATGCTCACTTCTGTTTTTCTCTCATCAGTTAAATAATACAGAAATATCAGGTCACAACACATGCAACACCATGCTCATCACCAAATACCCTCTTATTTGAAGTTTGGCAATCACTTCCTAATGGCACTTCTGCTTCAGACAAGAAGTGGGCTCAGAACAGAAGAGATGTTAGGTCTATGCATCTATGCACACAAGGCACCTAGTAAAGTTCAGGGACATGTGCTTTATGTGTAACATAAAACACCAATGTGTAAGGAGATATTTCAGGGACTTCAGCAGACTGCAGCAGTTCTAAGAACATTACCAGTGCCTGTAAATGTGTACAATATATATATTGGAACAGTAGTAATGTGAAGCATTTGGATTGTATGTGTTGACATTGTTGTGTATAAGTCTTTTGTAAATAATATATGGGTGACACTGTTAGTACAGGTACTGTATTGTATAGAATTGATAACCATACTTACATTATGCATAATTTAGGTCTCATGGAGCACAACAACTGCTGGAAAATGTAAAAACCCCAGAAAAAAAAAGTGTAAAAAAATAAGTAAAATATTATGGAACATGCAGCAATTGCCAATGTTGCCATCAGCAGACCAACAACCTTCAGCTCACACCTTCATATCTTTCAGAATTTTGTTTAAAATTGTGACATTCAAATTTATATATTTCTTTGCAAGTAGTGATAATGAAGGTTAATAGTCCATGAAAAAAATTCAGTCAGCTATTATTTCATATTTCATTGTTTTAGGGTATACAAGAACTGGAACAGCAATTCCCACAGCATATCAATTCAGTTCGTGGACGAGGAACTTTCATTGCATTTAATGGAACAGATGCAACCAAACGGGATGCTATTATTGGTAAACTCAAGCTATTGGGTGTGTATAAATAATGCAGTTTTACTTGCTGATATTATAATGATTCGTTGCTGCGGTGTATCTTATACAAATTGAAGCATGAATAAGATTGACTTGGAATATCTTCATAATGGATTATATATCCTGTATTTTATATAGGCTGTATTTTCTGACATAATGATTGTGGTAATACACTATTATTATAATCAAAAAAGAAGCGCTAAGCCACAAGGTTGTGGTAATACAGGTTTGAAATGTCTATTAACTTTTTTTTTTCACCCATGTGTCAGGTATACACGTTGGAGGTTGTGGGGAGAAGGCTGTGCGTATGCGTCCGGCTCTTATCTTTCAACCTCACCATGCTCACATCTTCCTTGACAAGCTGCAGACTGCTCTTTCTGGGATGTAAACACATTTTGTATACATATACTGTACTGTATTTAAAATGTGGAGAACTTGATTTTAAGCAGTGTCCATATAGATAAGTAATTTACAGAATATTAGACATTTAATTATTATTTTTATATATAGTGTTGCCTTTTTTTGTAAACATATATATATATATATATATTATATATATATATATATATATATATATATATATATAATATTATATGTAATATACACACTACTGTATATAATGGTCAGAGCATTATCTAAACATGAACTTATTTTGCTTATTACAAATATTTTTTTTCATTTTCCCATAGTCTTTAGTTTGTCTTGCTGTCTAACATTGCATTTCTCATACTAGTTTAATGGCAACATACATAGTGTGGGCATGCACTCACACATGCATGTACACACACACATTCATGTGTGCACACATGCATTCACACATTATTAGGTGAATATATGCATATGCACACACTCCTAGAATAATAATTTTATCATTTTTCTTTAACTTTAAAAATTATTTCAATTATTTTGGTAATTACAGTAAATTTTTCACATTTAGTCTACATAAAAATTAATACCTGAGGTTATAAATAATCTCATGTGTGGTCACAAAAGTACAGTATGGTGACTTTGGGTACATTCTCCACTTCATTAGTGCATTCTCAAGTTGTCTAAAATTGAATTATATCATCATCAAAGAAAGCGCTAAACTGACAAAGGGTCATACAGCACTGATAACCATGTATAATAATCTGATAACCACTAGTGACATACTGTACCGCTGGGGTGGGAATACCTGACTAGAACAATGAAAAGGAACCTTTGTGTGTAAACAATTTACAATGGTCCCTCGTTTATCGTTGTTAATCCATTTCTGGAAGTGTGACGATTATCGAAATAGACGATTTTCGAATCAATTTTCCCCATAAGAAATAATGTAAATACAATTAATCCGTTCCTGGCACCCAGAAGTATTAAAAAAAAAAAAATTTTACATGAAATATAGATGTAGTACATAATACAGTGGGACATGATGAATGAAACATTAACAGCATAACACTTACCTTTATTGGCAATTCTTCTTAGTGTATGGAAGACTGGAGGAGGAGAGAGATTGAATTAGTTACTGTTTGGAAGGGGAATCCCCTTCCATCACCTCAGGTACCAAGTCCTTTTCTGGGGTTACATACTTCTGTTTCTTAATGCCACTAGGACCAGCTTGAAAGTCACTGGAGTCCTGTCTCACAAAAAAAAAAAAAGTGTCCAGAGAGCTGTTTCTGGCATCTCTTTAAAACTTCCCTAAAATGTGCCAAGGCTCTGTCACTGTACAAGTTGCCGATATGGCTTGCAACATCCTTCTCAGGGTGACATTTCTCCATAAATCTTTCCATCCTACCCCACATTTCAAAAATCTTCATTTCTGAAGAAGGCACCTTTCATCTCTCTTCCTCCTCCTCTGCAGCAAGATTCTGAGCTGCGATCTGTTGCTGTTCCTGCTGAAGCTCTTGCAGCTCCTCCGTATTTAGATCTTCATTGTGGTCCTCCACCAACTCTTCCACCACCTCCAATTATTATTATAATCAAAAAGAAGCGCTAAGCCACAAGGGCTATACAGCGCTGCACCACCTCCAAACTCTCATCCAACCCCATGGAACTCCCCAATGCCACAATAGATTTCACAACTGACGTAGGCTCATCAGGGTCAGCCACAAACCCTTCAAAATCCCTTTTGTGGACACAATCTGGCCACAATTTTCTCCAAGCAACAACAGCTTCCTTGATTTCCTTTTTCTTTGCCACGATGGAAGATATGGTTGTATGGGGTTTGTTATACATCCTGGCCAGTTCGGCCACACGTACGCCACTTTCATATTGTTCAATGATGTTTTTCTTAAATTCAATCGTATTTCTCACCTTTACCAAAGGCTTGGCACTAGGAGCTCTCTTTGGAGCCATGGTAGCTTATTTAGCACTTGCAAGCACTAAAATGAATGGAAATATTATGAAATATTTCGTATGAACAAGTGAGGGGACCGTCGCTCACTGGTAAACAATGGCACATTGGCTGGGAAGGGAGCCCGAGGTGGCTCAGAGCTGTGAGTACACATCCAGGACGAATGACGATTAACGAGTCAACTGACCATTTGCGAGCCAATGTTTGGACGAAAATAATGCGACGATTTCCGAAAAGGACGACTATCGAGCCCAACAATTATCGAGGGACCACTGTATATGGCAAAACACGACACTGTAGGCTCTTTTCATATACTATCAAGTGCCATCTGTCTTTCATTTCTAGGCATTTCAGTACTTTAGAAGCATTGTACAGTACTTTATGTCCAAAGAAAATTTGCAACTAATTTGCCTTGTAGTATTTTTGCTCTATTTTCCTTTCTCTGATGGTTCAGTTATGAAAATAACATGTTTAAGAGTGAGCAGCTTAGGTATGAAGCTTCATTCTCACTTGTAAACTTGCAAGAAGGCATCATGCAATGAAAGTGAGGCAGTTCTCACATCTCGTATGAATAAAAAGATATAGTAGGTCTAAATTGTAACAGGTAATGTTTAGAGTGAACTGGGGAATAATACTGATGTATAGAATAATAATTTTAATTGTTTTTAAGCTTAGCAGTATGTTATATTCAAAGAAATTATAGTACGTAGAGTACCTATTTTATCATAATTTCATTTATTGGGGAGCTGTAAACCTGTAGAGGTCACTCAGTGCCTGGGGAAATAGAAGGCATTCAGACTTGATTCAAGGAATTAGAGGACAGGTTCAGTTCCTTGTATCAAGAGCCCTTCACCAGCATCAATTATTATTATTATTATAATCAAAAAGAAGCGCTAAGCCACAAGGACTATACAGCCACCAGCATCAAGGAACCTCCCTTGAAGGGTACTCTTGTTTAACATACTTTTATAATGTGAAGAGCAACAGTGGTGTTTGCCATTCATTTACTTCAGTGATGCTTTTCCTAATGTTAAGTCTTATAATCTTTATTATTGATTTGGTGATTTTTTCTTAGTATTTGCCAGACTTTGTTTCATATTTGTAAAACTGATTCATAATTAATTTGGTTGATGTAATACACATGCAGTATCTTCTTCCATTAATAAGAACAGTATTAATTGATAGCTGTGTTTTACTTAGATAATTTAGCATTGGGAGTTCAAGACTTTTGTGTTTAAACTCCAGAACATTATATTTTTTCACTGTTGAAAAAGGTGTGGGTAGTATAATGGCGAGACCATCAGTGCTAATACAGTTGGCCTATTTCTTTAGATTATCTTTGTTTAGCATTTTATCAGTTGAATATCCAAGGAAAAAAAATTAAAGTGTAAAAAATGCAGGCTTATATTAATATAATAAAAATTAAGCACTAAACCCACAAGGGTTGTACAGCACTGCTGCAGGCTTCTATTTCTAAAATATTTTAAAAGCATTATGGGGAAATTATTTAACAATCAGTTTCTTTCTAGGTCATGACTAGTGTTTCCTTGAAGCTGCTTGCTTGTACAGCAGCACAAGTCACTCAAATGCTGTACAAAAAAAAAAAAAAAAAAAAAAAAAAAAAAAAAAAAAAAAAAAAAAAAAAAAAAAAAATTGAACTTACATGCATTCTTGGTGATGGTAACTAAGTTAGTAACTTCTTTTAGGTTTTAAGAGTTTATAGGGGACTCAAACGGTTGCTGGACTTGGTCGGGGGAGGTGGGAAGTACTGTACTGCACTTGAAGGAGAGGTGGAGAGTTCCAGTTTTGAGAGTATTTGAAGTGGATTTGAGAACTTTGACAAAAAAACTATTGAATGATAAAAAGGAAAATGTTTTCCTTCTAAATTTTCCCTCCCTGGGTGGGAATTTAAAAAAAATTTTGGTTTTTGTTGCTATTCATTCTTTTTTGAAATACCTATGGCCTATGTACAAGTTTACATTGATACCGTAAATTGCCTATTTTCCTTTGAATTGAGGGGAGAAACTTTTTTCTCCATTAACAAATGCTATTTTGTGGTACAATATTTTTGGAAAAATAAAAACTAGGGTTTTGATCAATCACCCAAAGTGAGTCTCCCATCACGAGGCGGTGGGGAATAGAGTAGAATAAGAAGAATGGGAAAGTAACCTGTCATGTAAATTGGGGGAAACAGACCAAGGTAAAAAGGCAATTGATGGGGAAAAACAGATAGAAAGAGTAAAGAAAGAAAAAGCTGAGCGTGGTCATAATGGGTGGATTACCTGTACAGTGGTCCCTTTTTTTTTGTATTAATCCTTTCCTGAGGAGCTACTAGTATCGAAATCTACGATTTTCGAACGATTTTCCCCACAAAAAAAATGTAAAACAATTTAAACCGTTCCTGACACCCGAAGTATTTAAAAAAAAAATTTTTTACATAAAATAATGTGTACATAAACAATACAATGGGAAATGATGAAGAAACATAACAGCATAACATTTCCTTTTTTGGAGATTCTTCTTAGTGTAGGGGAACTAGGGGGAGACAGATTGGTTATTTTATTTTGGAAGGGGAATCCCTTCCCAGAAAACCCCTCGGGTCCAATTGTTTTCAGGGGTTGTTCTCTTCTTGTTTCTTAATGCCCTGGGCCCACCTTTGAGAGCCATGGAGTTATCCAAAATAACGTCCAAAAAGGCTTTTTTTTCTGGATCTTAACATTTCCCTTAAAAAATTGCCCAAGACTGTCACGTCATGTTCCCAACATGGCTTGCAACAGCCTTGTCAGGGTGATTTTCCCCATAAACTTTCCATCTTCCCCCACATTGAAAAAAATCTCCTTAATTTTGAAAAAGGCCCCTTTTTTCCATCTCTTTCCCCCTCCTCTGCAGAAGATTCTGAGCTGCTCTGTTGCGTTCCTGCTGAAGCTCTTGCAGCTCCCAGTGGTGGCCTTGGTTGTGGTCTTCCCCCAACTTTTCCCACTCCTCCAAATCAAATCCAACCCCAGGAAACCCCCCAGGCCACAATAGATTTAAAACAGACATAGGCTCATCAGGGTCAGTCCAAACCCCTTCAAAATCCCTTGTCGACACATTTGGGCCCAATTTTCCCCAAAAGAGGTTCAAAAGCCCGGGTTAGTCACCCCCTCCCAAGCCTTCCTATAAGGCTTATGCAGAGGGGGATCTAAAGTGTTTCTCCCAAAAATCTTTAGGGTAAAGGAGTGTCTGAGGCACATTAAAGCACCTTTCAAAACATTGCGTTGGTGTTTTAGTTTTTAAAGTTTTCAATGACTGTGTTTAGGGGTGGAGGAAGGGGTGGTATTCGGGGGGCAAGAATTTATGTGATAACTCAAACTCCTCGAAAATTAGAATCCCAAATTTGGAGGATGAGCAGGGGCATTGCCGTTATAGGGGGCACTTGAATCCAATTTTTTTTTCCAGAGGGAATTCTTTCCCCTAGGGCCAAAAAATTTATTGAAAACCCTCAACGAAAATTTCCCCCGGACCCCTGCCCCAATTATTAGATTTCCCAAAACACACACAATTTATCTTCATAAAATTGTTTTTTTGAACACTCTGGATTTTCAGAATGGTACACTAGTAAAGGCTTACTTTGAAATCCCCACTAGCATTAGCAAGAACATGGGGCCAGCCTGTCTTTTTTGGCGTTCCTGGCAGTGCCCTTTTTTCCGGGGTTTAAAGTAGGTCCCCTTTGCCTTTTCTCCAAAAAGGCCCGTTTTGCACAATTGAAAACTTTTTCAGGTTTCGTCCTTCACCCTATGTACTCCTTGAATTCAGACATACAGTATTTTTTAAAAACCCCTTTGTGGTCCAAATGGCAGCCCCGCCTGCCAACCACACTGTATGCCAGTACGGTTCTTATATTCTCAAACAATTTTGCTGGCCCTTAAAATTATCATCACCATAATTGTAGGGAATTTCTTACCGATCATCGGCAACTGCTTAGCCTTTTCACAAATAATCGATGTCATAAGCCTATCTCCTTCTAATTGTTTCTCGTTTATCCACACCAATAATAATAACTTAACATCTTCGAGTACTGGTGATCTCATTTTTGTCAGCATATTTACCCCCTTTGCAACAACAGCGTCCTTGATTTCCTTTTTCTTGGCTACGATGGAACATATAGTTGTGTAGGGTTTGTTATACATCCTGGCCAGTTCGGCCGCACTTAAGCCACTTTCATATTGTTCAATGATGTTTTTCTTAAATTCAATCGTATTTCTCACCTTTACCAAAGGCTTGGCACTAGGAGCTTTCTTTGGAGCCATGGTAGCTTATTTAGTACTTGCAAGCACTAAAATGAGCGATATATTATGAAATATTTTGTAGGATAACGTGAGGGGACCTTCCCTCACTGGCAAACAATGCCAGACTGGCTGGGTAGGGAGGCCGCCCCGGCTCACACCGTGCATGCGCGTCCTGGACGACCTACTATTCGACAGTCAATCTACGATTAGCGAGCCCATTATTATTATTATTATAGTCAAAAAGAAGCGCTAAGCCACAAGGGCTATACAGCGCTGCAGGGCAGGAAGGAAGCGAAGGCATCAGGTGGCAAAAGGGAGGTGGATGAGTAATAGGTTACGGATAACAGCGGGGCAGTGGATGGTGAAAGGGTGAAGGGCAGCAAGAGACTGAGCTAGAAAGGGCTGAGGGGAGTGCAAAAGGTATCATCATCAGAGTTTGTGGAGTAAATCAGTCGTTGTCAAGAAGTCAATGAGAGAGTCAGGATTAAAGGAGGGTCCATCAGCAAGAAGGGAAGGTAAAGAGAGAGTTGTAGAACGATGACAATGTTGGAGGTAAATTCTGTTTGCTCGTTGATAGAGAGGGCAGTCTAACAGAATGTGGCTAATCGATACTGGAACTTGACACTGCTCACAGAGAGGAACAGGGTGCCTCCCCATGAGATACCCACGAGTAAGACGAGTGTGGCCAATGCGAAGGCGGGAGAGAGTGGTCTCCCAACCTCGGCACTGATGACAAGACGACGGCCAGTAACCTATGCTCGGTTTAATAGAATGAAGTTTGTTACCAAGCAGAGTTGACCAATGTTGTTGCCAACAGGTGTGAAGGTGGGTAGCTATTGCAGCAAAATAGTCCAGAAATGGAACACCTCTATAGGAAATTGGTAGGTCATGTACTGCTGACCGTGCAGCAGTGTCTCCCTGTTCATTGCCCTGTACGTCAACATGACCAGGGACCCAACAAAAAACAATATCTTTATGCTTGGTAGAGATACGGCGTAGCCAAAGTTGGATATGGAGAACTAGGGGGCGAGATGTATCAAATTTTCGTATAGCCTGTAGAGCACTAAGGGAGTCTGATACTACCACAAATGATGACACAGGCATAGATGCGATACGAATAAGTGCTGCAAGAATGGCATACAATTCAGCAGTAAAAATGCTAGCTGAAGATAGTAAATGCCCCCGCACGACGCTGTCCGGAAACACTGCTGCGAATCTTACACCGTCTGAAGACTTAGAGCCATCTGTGTACACAGCGATGGCATGAGAATGAGAGTGGAAGTGATCAAGAAAAAGAGAGCGGGAAGCCACCATAGGCAGTTGGGCTTTCAAGCAAGGGAGTGAGAAAGAATAGAACCGAACAGCTGGAACTTCCCAGGGGGGTAGGGAAAAGTGAGATGCTACATGAACATATAAAGGTGGTAACTGAAGGGAAGACAAGAGCAAATGTAGGCGAAGAGAAAAGGGACGGAGCAAACAGGGGCGGCGAACAAATAAAGAATGTCTACTAATATCAGTGACCATTCTATAAATGGAAGGATTGTGGAGATCGTGAGAGCGTACATAGTAGCGAAGGCAATGGGCATCACGGCGATCAGACAAGGATGGAACATTCGCTTCTGCATAGAGGCTCTCAACAGGGGAAGAGCGAAAAGCACCAAGGCATAAACATAATCCTTGGTGATGGATGGGGTTAAGGCTAGAGAGAGTAGCAGGAGAAGCTGCTGAATAAATCTGGTCACCATAATCGAGTTTCGATTAAACGAGGGCTGAATGTAGGCGAAGCAGAGTTCGACGATCAGCTCCCCAGGAAAGATGAGCAAGGGTTTTAAGAAGGTTTAGCCGGCTGTGACAAGTTGCCTTCAGAGAGGTAATGTGAGGTTTCCAGGATAACCTACGGTCAAAGAGAAGGCCTA